TTTAATTATAAATTGTATTGAACCTCTATTGAAACTGTTGGAAAGCATCTTCAAATGATTTTTTCCAAAAGCTGGATTTTAACTGAGACGATTTACTCGTATTCTGATTTGAAAGCTTGTTGTGCTTACTGAGTTTATATAACGTGGATTCATTGTTTCCTACTGCTCAGTCTTTATTTACTCTTATTACTTAATGGGTTGGAGTACTCACATTACTCCCTGCACCTCGCGTGTAAATTCAGGTATTTCAAAATCCTGTAGCGAATGTTGATTGCTCAGATGCAGAGTCATCAGAGTTAGCAAGGTGGTTGCATGACGTTTGCAATACTGCTTCCCTCCTCTCATTTTTATTATTGTATTTAGTACATTTTTTAGACTCTTGTTGTACTCGGACCTTAGTAGATGCTCATGATTAGTGATACCCCGATGTCGGGCTTGTGTAATTATTCCGCATTTTTCTTTCTCTGAAATTTCATTATGAGATTATTGATTTATAAATGGTATTAAAAAATAACTATTATTAGAAAATGGTTGATTCGAGAGTTATGTCGGTTGGCCTAGTTTCACGATAGGCGTCATCACGACCGAGTCGGTTTTGGGTCATGACAACTTTGATGAACGAATCTGCAAGCATTTCAAAAGAATTGATTGAATGCTCAGGTAAGAGGGAATAACATGTCAGGGCCCGCTTCGTAGGGGTTTCGCCAAACTTTTTCAACAGAACCGACTCGATCTCATGTTGAGCCAAGTCATTTCCTTTCACTATCGTGGTGTAAGTCGTGATGTGCTCCTGCGGATCCAAAGTCCCATCATACTTTGGTATGTTCGGCATCTTGAATCTCTTCGGATTAACTCTAGTGTCGCACTTAGTTTAAATGGCAACTGCGTGTACTTTTTTAGAATCTGGACCCTTTAACACCGGCGGTGCACCCGGAATTTGATCCATCTGAGCATGAAACTCCTTCGTATTCTGATCCATTCGTTCGTTCATCTCTCTCATGAATTTTATGAGCTCGGTTTTGAAAAGATCATTCAAGTTGTTGTTCCCTGATCCACTACCAGTCCTTTCGGCGTTGTCAAAACTGACTTCGCACCGTGGGGTGTTGTTATTGGTTCTTGAGCCATTTGATTTGTAGGAACATTGGGAGGAACCAGGGCCCTTTCGTTCGCATTACTGGAAGCACCCAACAATGCTTGTTTTAACTCTGTCATCACCCGATCCTGCCTTCAGAGGTGATCCATGATTGCTCTTTGTTGTTCTCTCAGGAGTTTGAGCGTTTCAACAATGTGTTCATCTTCTGTATCATTAGGAGCTGGGTCCCACACGAACCGGGGTTGTTTCATCCCCTTCGTTGCGGGTCTCGCGGATCGAGTCATCATGTTGGGATAATCTTTCCGATTCATCGTGTGCTCCAATGTTGTAAGCCTTATTGACATCATTAGCTGCCATATTTGATTTTTTACTAAGAAAAGAGTCAAAACTAGTAACAAATAAATGGACCAAAGCAATTATGCAGATGTTTATACCCCACAGTGGACTCCAAATTGTTTGTCAGTAAAACAGTATAGTTAAATTTATAGCGTGGTTTATAGACAAGTGAATCGATTTGATCCAAAAATGATAAATAAATAAGAACATAAATTAGATTAACGACTAAAAGTAAAAGAGATAACAAACCTGACTCAAAATTTAGCGTTTCCGAGAACAAAAGTAAAAGCAGTTGTTAAATTGTTCAATTTGAGCGTAACAAGGTAGTTGGTTATAGCTTTTGTGTGCAGAATGTTTTCCTCCCCCCACAATGGTCGTTAACCCTGCTATTTATAGTTCTATTTAGAGGGACAAGATCCTAAAATCAAGCTCCTCTTGATGAGAATAAAATCGTTATTGATGGGTGCATATCGGCTGGCTTTAAATGCAAATATTCTCTGTAACGGCTGCGTATTGAATGTTACCCGATGACAATGCGGCAAATTCTTGCTATTGGTTTTGTCTTCGGGGCTTGTTCGGCGCCGATTTCCTGATGCTTGCAACCGGTGACAGTTGTTTGCTGACTCATATCCGACTTCAATACCACGTGGCACACATTAATTCGCTCGGCTATCATAAACTAGTTTTACCCCATACAGGACTTAATTTAAAATTAATTTCCTTTCAAGAATATGCATTACTGGGTAGGACAAAGGAACCCTGGAATGATGAGAAGTACAAAATCAACGAAGACCAAGAAACAAACTAAGGATTGGAGAGCGTTATTTGATCTTAACAAGAGTTTTCCATCCTTTACACGCACAAATAAGTAAAGACTGTAATATCTTTTCTCTACTCATACGCTAGAAGGGATTCAGCAGCTATATAATCGATTTCAATTTGCTCGAATAGAGGCATAATTGTGGTATTTTTGTTTGGTGTCGGACCCGTTATGCACCAACACCACTATATTTAGACTTCAAATATTGCAGTGCAGGTGACCCAGCACTACTAGGGTCATTTTCTAATGTATTTGGCACAATTAAGCTGCCTTTGAAACTTTAAGCTGTCAAATCTTACTTTAATGCTTTGGTGGAAAGATTGGAACCAGTGGCTGAAAGAAACGTACTTTTCATTTTGGACTTCTTACGTTTTATTCTCACGCTACGAAGCAAGCAGAGGCGGATTCAGAATTTTAAGCTTTTAAATTCCTACAACAATCTCAAAAGCTTATGAATTCCTACAACAATCTCAAGTTAATCTACATGATAATTGGATCAACGAACTGAGTTCCAAGCTAAATATTCTTATACTTTTAATAAATTTTTTAGTACAAATACAAGGTTTATGCAAAAGTTACTGGGTTTACGGGAACCCGTATACTTTTCTCTGGATCCGCCCCTGGAGGCAAGCTTTCTTTTTAGTAACTTCAGTAAGTCACTATTTGTCTACATATATGATTGTCTAAAATTTACAGATATTCAGATCTCTCGACTAATATCCTCAACTCAGTATTGTGCATTGATCATCAGCAGGAAACGTTAGTTGGTCGCTTTGATAGCTCATCACCCATTTACTGATTGAATCTTGCTAAGTTTGTGCTTTCATAATTTATTTGGTCTAAATAATTGCTATAGACAGTTTGAGACAAATGTCTATTTGGTTAAACGATTACATAAGTAATGTACACTGATAAAAACATTAATAACTTGTGGTAAGCAGATACTATATACGCGGGGCATGACTTTATCACTCGAATGATTCAACCAAAACCTTTTTGAATTCTCCTATAGACATTGACTACTGCAAGCTCATAGATAATTATTCCACCAAAGAGTGGCAACTATCAAAGATGCGCAATGTCCCATTGGCAAGTCAGAAGGGATCTAGCCTCTACATAATGTCAAAACGTATACTGCGCGTAATCATCTCGTCCCCATTCTAGACTTTTGGTTAAACAAGTAGCTGCAGCTGTCCACATATGACATCAGTATACACCAATGACAACCAACGAGGATAGAGAACACAAAAATAACGTTCAAAGTTTGCTCAATCAACGAGTTGCCTCCACCACCAACGAGTAAGGTTTGAGGTTTGACTTATAAGTGAGGAACCACTATCGAACAGGGTGACAGAAATAATTCTATATTTTCACTTATGCCAAACAATGTACAGTACTTCTTTGCCAGCAAACCGAATGCTGAGAGTGGCATCCAAAATCAGCCCGAAGTTTTGTCCCCACCAAAACCTGAGTCCAGAAATCCTGTCTTGTTGAGATGACTTATGTCGGCCCAGAGTTTAATAGTCCACTCATCCTTATCAGACAAGTGAAGTATACCAACAGATGTATTCCAGATCTTACTTTTAGACCGCCTATGCGGGGAAGCCCGCCTGTGAAGTGCTCTGATTGCACCCCCATGAGATACCACAACTACTCGTTCTCCTACATGGTAAATACACATTTCATATGCCCAAAAAATAACATCTTTGTGATGTATCACTCTTTTATTAATCCAATAGTTAAAAGAATACCTCTGTGCTTCTTTGCAATCCTCTGTAAACAAGACGTGCAGCGTTGATAAAGTTGATCTAAACTTTCTCCTCCTCCCTGCAAATAAGTTGTGGGAGAATTGAATACATGCAAACCCTTCATAAGACAGACTAGATCATGCAATCTATGTTCCTTCCCCTGTTTTTTCATTTTTACCTTGGGAGTGGGTACTCGATCTTATGCCCTAGGAATCCAGATTCTAACTTGGTTCCACCTCTGGCAGTGAACACATACATTTGAACATGGATTTTAGGTTGATTTGCCAATTTAGAGCTCAACTTGGTTCCACCTCTGGCAGTGAACACATACATTTGAACATGGATTTTAGGTTGATTTGCCAATTTAGAGCTCAACTTGGTTCCACCTCTGGCAGTGAACACATACATTTGAACATGGATTTTAGGTTGATTTGCCAATTTAGAGCTCATATTCATTACATTTAAATGTGATGAAGCAGATCAGATAGCCAAAAAGAAGAAATAAAGAAAGAAGCAAATTGAAGAAAGCACATATTTAATATGACTACAAGTTTATTCAAATGAATAAGGATAAAGCTGGTCATGGAAGTAATAGTAAAAGGAGAAAAGGAATACTCACTGGAATTACTTGGTCACTCCGGTCCGATAGAAAAGCCTTATAAGCCATCGGTTGGCTTTGGGCTGCTTCACGGAGAGAAATACCTTGAAGATCTCCTAGATGTCTCTCTCGAAGGTGTGGATCTTTAATGACCTATATTAAGCACAAACCGAGACATAAAAGTAATTATTTTACTCCAATATGTTTGGTAGTCAGCTTTATCTGAGATTACATACAGCTATAAAACCCTCAAAACCTCCCCCTCTCCCTCCCTCATATCCATGCATTGCATCTGTTCCACATTGCTTGTTAACATTGTTGATGAGCTTATATTGCCTCCCAAATCTAAGCTTGACTGAATGAGAAGATAGACTCATACCATAGATCTTGAATATCAACTACACAGAGCCCTAACCCTTTCTTGGCCTCTTAAGCATATTTTACCTCATATTATTGCATGTTATTTTCGAGTTAATATCCATCTATGGAACTATGGAAGACCTTCTTACTAAGAGGCTAAGAGCTATATCATACAATTCCTTAGTGCATATAGAGAAGATCAATGGACAACAACACATAACGGAATCACTGAACTGCTCTGCTCATGCTCATAACAATCACATTAACAAGAAAAAGAAGTGAAGCAACAATCGCTTAGTTGTGATGGCTTCATAGAAAAGGTAAAGCTACATACTAAATTTCAAGAAAAGGTGAAAGTTAAAAGCAGGAGGAATTCCACAACAAAAGTCTCTAAACAGTGGAAACAGAGCTTACACCACAGGTTGATTACTGGGAAAAACAAGAGTATTCAGGAAAAATATAGTTCGAAAACAAATGATAATAGAAAGTGATTTTGAAAGTAAAATAGATATCATGAAACAATTGCTGCAAACTTTCTTCCATATACTAACTAATAAGTTAAAGAACTTGCAGAAGTTTCTCATTTATCGCATTATCCAATTGAGTAACAAAACCAAAAATACACACTCAGACATGATGTGAAAGATACGGTGAATTTGAATTTATATCTCTAATCTCAATTCTGACGATGCACTTTTATAGTGAATTCATACCTCTAGACCCCCACAACTCCTTGCTATTGTCTCTGCTGTCTCATGTGCCCGTTTCAAGTCAGATGAATATATGACAGAGATCCTTGGCTCCCTAGAGAGCCGGGCTGCCACCTTCAAGAAATTAACTTCAGGCATTGCACCAAAACCCGGAAAAAGAAAATGAAATATGAAATGAAATAAAGAAAAGGTTGAAGTTCATATAACTCCCTTAAAAGCTTTTAAGCTGGGAAACCGTAACATCCCAACCCCCAACCGCAATCCCCATCATGAAAACAAAGAAAATAATAAAGGGAAATGGATTATCTCACTTGACTTCTGTTGAACAGCCAACATAGTGGTATCTGAGGACTTGAATCTTTTCACAATCACATTAATATAAGTTCATTACTCATATTGTTCATAAAGAGGTGAAAAAAATATACCTACGCCCACTAATGGAGGCAAAGATTGACAGCAAAAGGATAGACATAGAAAAGGGGAAACAAATTTGGTACTTAAGCCAAGCGTGAAGCCATAACACCTTTCTTCTCTTTCAAATTCATATATCTTACAAAAGATGCAGAAGTGTCCATCTCAAAAAATTATATGAGGGTGTAGTATACATCCCAACAGTTCAAAGCATTTAAGTGAAATAACAAACAAATACTGTCCTACAGTGACTTACCGCCATAGCTTGCTGCCTCCCGCTGTCGTTTAATTCGACATCTAAATGCCCCTGGTTAATAGATGAAACAAGTATCAGTTATCGCATCTTTTCGTCATGATCCATATATTGTTATAGGATTTACCATAAAAGGCTAAATGCTGACAATTTACAAGAAGTTCAAGTGAATACGATTTGTCCCATAGAATCATACACAAACAGGGAGAGTATTACGTAACATATATCAAGGACTTTCAACCACCTTAGGTGTGTGTTTTTAAAAAAAATTCTATCCGTATTTCCTCTGGTTTTACATTATGCCATTTTTGCTTTATGAGGTTGTACTTTATCATCTACAATCTTTAAGAAACATTGCACCATTGACATCTTCCCATTAAAACACCGACACAGTTATCAAATTGCAGCTATCTGGCTAAAACATGTGTATCTACCCTACAAAGAATGGTTCCCCTGTCACAGCTTTTATTGAATGACCTTCAGTCTTCCACCTTTTCACGCCCTTTCTGAGGCAAGTGGGGCTTATGTGTTTCTGGGTGGAATATTGACATGGCAAAGTACATATCCTTTACATTGCTAATATATATAGGAAAGTAAGGAATATCTTTTTCGAAAAAATGGAACCATAGTACAAATTTTTAATTCTTCGATAATAAAGAAAGGAAACATTCTACACCTGAAGTGTCAACTGATATAAATAATTAACACAACTACTGTAGGTTTACAATTTTCTGCAGGTTATATAAAGAAACTTGAATGATAAAAGTAAAATCACTATACTTGAGTCTAATTAAAAGGTAAATGTACTATATTTTTCACTTTTATATAAATAAGCAAGGTGATTGCTGGTATTTTATAATGGTGAGATAACATGTCCGAGTTGTTCCTCAAAGGAAGTTAATGCTGTAAAGGTCTTTGAAATGAAATTGAATAATTAGTGTAATCTCAAAATTAAATGAGAGTCTTCATTTTTAGAGCACATTGCTTTATTTATGGGCTTATGTAAAACGAAACTAATATATCCTCTATGCTCAGATCTGATCCTTCATGTACAATGTACCAATCTCAATGAGGTTTTCAAATAAACCGGTTACCATTCCCAGCAAACTAGGACATTTAAGTCTTATATATGAGATAGAAGAGAAGAAACGAGGCAGCTCAAAATTAGCAAGAAGATATTTCAAAAATGTTAAAACAAGAGCACATGGTAGATAATTTTGCTAAAATTTATCACCTCACATATATTTTGCAATATGAAGGATTCCAATCACTGGAATGCAATTCTTTTGCCGAAAAACTATAATATGATGTGAATATATATAAGGAATGAAAAACATGGTCACATTTACGAAAAGAAAAATATAAACATTTAGTCCCTTATGTTTATTAATAAGAGCAATTAAATAGTATTTCATCTATCTTTTCCCAACCAATTCTGAGGTGATCTAGGAGCTCATTCTCCAAAGATCATGTAATCGTTACATGGGTGTAAATGAGAATGAAGTCAGTATCTTAACAGTTCGAAAGAACCCCTTGCCGCATCCCTGATGCAAATCCATACCAATCTCTGGTGATGGAAAATGATAATTAAATGTATTAACTATTGCAATTGAGAAATGAGGTACAAAGGTGAAAGACTAGATATGTGCAAAACTATACAAAGAGCCATGGAGGTACAAGTTGATCTTTTTGATTACATTTACAAATAATGGACTGCATATGAAACCTTTTCAATATTTTGAAATGTCTTTTTATTTGCATACATTCACATGTTTTCTGTAAACATTTTCTGGCGAACATAAATTTTGGTAGTCAAAATTCCTCAATGTGATTCCAAAAATAGATGACGGACTAAATACGAGCAACAATGACAATAGAGACTAAACATTCTTTTTTTTTTGAATGAAGTAACTTTAGATTAAGCACTCTATTTTGCTATGACAATTGTAACAAACTAGATGGATGCTAGCTTGAAAGGAGTTTCCTAGATTAGAAATACTCAAAAATCATGATACTTCCCCTATCACACTTTATGTAGCAGACTTTTCATTTTAGTATGTTCCAAAAACACTAACACATCTTCAAATTTAGAAACAATTTAACTTTAAAGTTCTCATTTTACCTTGAGGTAATTTATAGCTACACATATGTCCCTGGCTTGTTTTAAACCCGTTACCAGGCAAACAAGGCCTTATAAACTGGAACGGAGGGAATATAACGTTTTGCATGTCAGTTTTGTTGTGCATAGATCCCTAAAATTTTAAGAAAATACAATTCCAGATAGAAAAAGCCAGACACATTAGCAAAGAAAAGACAGCAGAAAGCTAAAACGGGGCAGGAAATGACCTGAATTCTGCCGTCGGCATTCCATTCCGTTTCACCATGACGGATTACTATAATTTCAGTCAAATTAGGACTCACATTTTCAGATTTAGCATCTCCGCCACACTCAGGCTGTGGTACAACCCTGCTTGAGACACTTGCAGAATCAATTTCAATCAGAAAAAAGCTAGAAGATAAACAAACAACACACGACGATAAATATATAAAAATATTTTATTTTTTTAAAATCTTTAAGTTTCCTCTATACATATATATTCTGAAAGTAGGGGCACGCGCATCAATTGCTTATATGTATTTTGAGCACGAGACACTAGGTGCAAGTGCATCAACTGCTTATATACAGGCGTACAACAAAGCAAAACAAAAAGAAAGGTAAACAATGTAATTGCAGACCTAGAAGTAGAATCAGCCATAGGAGTACTGGAAATGTGAGTGAGATGAGGGATCAAATTGAATCTCAGAGCTGGCCTGAGTATATGCTTGGAAATTGCAGCACTTTGTAAATATTTTGAGCAACAAAAATTCACGGGCTTACCGGTCTGAGAATGGCGGAGATTGTCAGGTTTTACTGATCCACCATTAGGCAATGTGCGTAATGAGGTCATTTCCATCTGTCGAGGATTTGTATTCTTGCTATTCCTGAAAATAGCAAAATTGGATGGGCTTACTGATTTGGGCCAGCCAAATATCAGTAAATTGCTCCAAAACTTGTGATGGGCTGAAAATTAGTCAATGTTCAATAATAAAGTCAAAATAGCGTGCATAGTCATTTTTACGGGTGGTTATTGGAAAATAGGCGGTATTAATAAATGGGAAACTTACACAAATGTCCCAAATAAATTTCAACTTATCAACATCTAGCCATTAGTCACAGACTTACCAAAACTAGCTAACAAAAATTGAAAAACCAAAAAATAGGATTCTTTCTATCAAATAATCACATGCAAAAATAACCTTCCATATTTTTAAACGTGATTAGCAACATTAGATACAAGACAGAAAGGAAATTTCATGGACGGGGTAGCAAATAAGGTGATGAAATACAAAAATCTATACAATATTCTAAAAATCTAAACAAAAAAGGAACTTTTTCAATGGGTATAGTTGAAATTCATTGAAAATATAAAGATAAGTCAATATACAAAATTTGAGGAAGATTGGAGGTGATTTGGACTAGTTTTGTATCAAAATTAAATCGAGTTCAAAAAAATCTTTTGCAACACATGTATCAAACATGTATCACGTATGTATCTCACACACAGGTACGTGGATATACATGTGATACACAATTGATACAAATATAATATATATGTGATACACATATCATTTTTTTTCATGTTCAACTTTTACTTCGAATTTTCAATTTAAACCACCTCAAAACTTCACCAACTCATCCCTAAACTGAGATTCAAGCTCCTTAAGTTGTGGCCAATCTATTCTAATAACACCCACTCAAAACAAAGCAAAAATTTGATATTTTTTTTGCTACAAATAACTAATTGGCTAATTTGGCTAATATTAGTAATATTTTATCAATTGGCCAATTTTTGTAATGAGCTACTTATAAATGGACATAGATGGTAATTTTCCTTAATGAATTTATTGAAAAGTAGCCACTATTTAAGGCAGAGATAAAATATGGACAAACGTATCACAGAAAGTTCTGGCATAATATGCTGGATTATAGAACTCTTTGGTATAAACTTCTAGAATATTATGTTGGAACTCCAACAAATTATAAATGTCAACATATTATGCTGGAATTTCATATGTTAAATATTCGAATTCCAACATATTATGCTAGAATTTTCAAAATTTTTAATAATGTTTTTGTTCAGATTTTATTTTTACATAAAAAAGTGCTAAAATTCAATTACTTTTGAAACTATAGCTAATTTTCAATTAGCAGTTGTAAATCATGCTATTTCTAATTATTATTTTTCAATAATGAAGGACTTATTGTTTTTTAATTTGATTTTGTTTTATATAATATTAGTTTTGCTTTTTTTTTTGGGAGTATCGTTTTTCGGTCTGCATATATCACTTAAATCATTCTTTTTATATTTATCTACATTATTGTAAAAGCACGAATATTTTACGCTAAATGTTGAACGACAAAAATATACTTAAAATGTTAATCGATTTTTATACCTTTAAATATTTTGTTAAAAAAAATCCATATTGGATAAAATAGTTATATCTACTACTAATTTGCCTAATATTTAGGAATCTGATACCAACTAATAATAGATTTTTATAAAAAAAATTAGTAATTGAATGTAAAGTTCTAATACAATACTAATTCTACCTGGACAATTACACAGAGCAATCGTAGAATCTCACATGCTCTTAAGAGTTTTTATAGTTGAAACAATCCCACGTATGAACATTAATACTCTTGTTTATATTGTTGCCTTTATATAAACAATTTTATTGTATTGTGTTCACTCCGTTGCAACATAAAACAACTATGCGCGGATTTTTTTGAGGTAATTTTCAGTCTCTTTTAGTATCATATCTTATAGACTAGATTTGACTCTCTAACGCCAAAAGAAAGCTAATGGCAATTAAGAAGTTGAATTTTTAATTTCGTGCATGTTGGGTGATAATTCGTCCATATCTTTATGGGTTACTAAGTAAGATTTTTATTTGTTTGTTGGAAGGGATATTGATGGAAAAATTGAATTAAGCGACACTCAAAATAGTGAGAATGCGGTCTCTACAACCTCCATCCAAAGGAACTTTAATATAACCAAATTATAAGTTAGCGGGACTATAATGTTTGTTCTCTTCTTTTTTAACTTGATAATATGTTCATGCGCTATTATATCTTCCTTATATGCGAGATAGTTCCTAAACTAATTTCTTTTATTGTTGTAATAGGAGGAGACTTAAAGAGGAAGATGTGAATATATTAATTAATGGAGAAGGTGTAATTTGGGGCATCAACCGAAGATTATGGTTGAGAAAATTAGAAGGAATAATATCAACTAATGGTGTGTTTTTAAATAACAAAGTAATGCACTCTTGTCGTACTTTAAATAATTTTGAGAATCGTTGCCTTAGATGGGAGCAATATAATTTATTTTCTTCATTACATAAAGACCAAACATATGCTTACCTACGGCCTTCGGCTACATATCCTGCACAAATGATTAGGTAAAATAATTTTACTAACAATCGACTTGATTGTTCTTTTATTAAATAACCAAATAGTAAATTTTTTATTCAGACAATGTCAATCAAAACATGCTCATTGATTATTTCAGAACGTGTTTAGTAGACGACAAAGCACATATACCTATAAAAGCATTCATATAGTATTATGTTTGGAATCCTCAACCGACAATATAAAACAGATAAAAGATTCGCAATTCGTTGAATCGCTACATTTCATATTTTTCCCGCATCGTTTGCATGAAAATAATTTTTTTGTATATAATATTTTTAAAAAGATTTAATTTGGAATTAGTTCATAAATAATTGACTTAAAAATCTCGTGCAAAGCATGATCCACTAAATATTGAACGACAAAAATATCCCTAAAATATTAGCTAACTTTTATACCTTTCAAAATTGAATTATTCCTTCAAAAAAAAAAATAGAATATGGGATAAAATTGTAACATTAGTGCCTAAGATATAGGAGTTTGAAACTAACTAACACAAGAAAATTTTTAAACCATAAAATAATTAACGTGAATAAGTTATAGTGCCTAAAATATAGGAATTTGTTACCAACTAATAATAAAACTTCTTAAAGCCACCTGTCATTAGAAAACAAGAAGAAGAATTTCCTAAACCACGACCTAACGTAATATAACCGTGACATTCTAACTCCTTGTTTAAATGCATGAAAGTACTTAACAAACACAAAAAATTAGAGTAAGTTTAAATTTGTAGAACATATAACTAGCGGTCTATCTTATTTTAGCTTCAAAATTAGAGGTAGTCTTTAAATAGAATTCTATTTTTTTTCTTTATACCAAAATAATCGATGAATTTATATAGGATTAAAAATATATGGGTAAATTATTATGATTAGTGTTGCGGAAGCCAAATGTAAGTAGTGTGAATAAGTCACAACTACTATACCAAAAATTATGACAGCCACCAAATAATAAATAAGACAATAAAGCAACAATAAAAGGAACACCAGAATTTACGAGGTTCGGTTAATTTTGCCTACTCCTCGGACACAACCAATATTTTATTCCACTCCAAAAATACAAGTGAAATAATACTAAAGAGAGAAGATACAAATGCCTTAAGAAGATAAGAAGGCAAATGAGAGGTGTGTTTAAATCCTAAATATTAGGCCTCCTTTAATAGGGAAAAATCCTATCCACTTTTGCTAACCCACCGACGTGGGACGTTGAAATTTTTGACATTTCAACAAATCTCCACCTTGGCAAAAATTCCACGTCTTCAATTTTCTCTCTATAACAAATTTTGGTTGTGTCTTCATCTTCAATCTTCAGTGTTCAACAATGTTGATCAAATCCAAACAATGTTGAAACTTGACCGCAGTCACCACCTTTGTCAGCATATCAGCAGGATTCTCCGTAGTATGAATTTTCTTCACCGTGACTCCACCTTCTTCTATGATTTCTCGTACGAAATGATACCGAACATCAATGTGCTTCGTCCTTGCATGATAAACTTGGTTCTTCGCTAATTGAATAGCACTTTGACTATCACAAAAAATTGTGATACCTTTTTGTTCAACACCAAGCTCCTTTAGCAATCCTTGAAGCCAAATTGCCTCTTTCACAGCATCTGTAATAGCCATGTACTCTGCCTCTGTTGTAGACAAAGCAACTGTTGACTGCAAAGTAGACTTCCAACTAACTGGTGCCTTTGCAAAAGTAAACACATAACCAGTAGTTGATCTTCGTTTGTCCATATCACCCGCAAAATCTGAGTCACAATATCCAACTACAGACTGATTGTCTTCCTGCTCAAAAACTAACCCGACATCTACAGTATTATGAATATACCGTAGAATCCACTTCACAGCTTGCCAATGCTCCTTCCCTGGATTGTGCATATATCTGCTAATAACTCCAACAGCTTGTGAAATGTCAGGCCTTGTGCAAACCATTGCATACATCAAGCTACCAACAACATTTGCGTATGGTACCTTTGACATATACTCTCGTTCAGCTTCATCCATTGGCGACATAGTAGTACTTAGCTTAAAATGGGAAGCAAGTGGAGTACTAACTGGCTTAGTCTTGTCATCTATGCCAAAACGTTGAAGTACTCTCTTCAAATATTCCTTTTGAGATAAACAGAGTTTCTTTGAACGTCTATCTCTAATTATCTCCATGCCAAGAATTTTCTTTGCCTCACCCAAATCCTTCATCTCGAACTCCTTCTTCAGTTGAATCTTCAACTTATCAATTTCTTCCGAATTCTTGGAAGCTATCAACATATCATCAACATATAGGAGAAGATATACAAAGGAACCATCTTTAAGCTTGTGCAAATACACACAATGATCGTATTTGCTTCTCTTGTACCCTTGCCGCAACATAAACTCGTCAAATCGCTTGTACCATTGTCTAGAAGATTGTTTCAATCCGTACAACGA